ATCTTTTATTGGATTGGATATAGGAGCAAGTATGATAACAAATGGATTGATGCAATGGTGTCATTGGATTCGAAGAAATAGGAGGTTAGCACAATGGCGCTACCAGAAGGGTGTTTTTATCCCGATGGAGTTTGGTGGAATGGAAAGGTAGGGGTGTACAAATCGAACCGGAAAACTGCATCAAACCGAAAAATGATTGTATTCTAGGGCTTGATTTCGACATTGATTCAGATCCCCAATCCACTGATAATGAAAATTTCGTTCGACAATGGAGATGAATCAGTGGAGAATCATGGTTGTATTCATGGAGAAAGACTGGCGTTGAGAGAGAGAGAGAGAGAGGGTGGAGAAAAATCTGAAAGAATGAGAGAGAAAAATAATACAAAGCGTATTTATGGCTTAAGGGTAGGAAGTTGCCATAAATAGATATTTGGCTATACAAATCAAAAGGTAGCTATGAAATATAATTTTTTAAAAGAGTATTTATATAAAATAAACAATGTATCAACATTTGCCACAAGAGGTAAAAATTCCAAATAAATACTTTATTTAACTTTTCAGTATCAGGAACTCACCGACACGACTAATTGAGTTGGGCAGTGTAGGGCTCATTGAAGGAGAAACACTCTAACAAGGAAGAAAAGGGGGTTTCTCCCTTCCTAGATTCAAACCCGAGACCTCTAGTTAAATGTGAAAATATCTCATTTATCCCATCATACTCTTCAGTGGTAGCTTGACATGGACATAGTTATACAGTCAAACTTCTTTATAATAGCCTCGTTTGTTCTAATACTTTTTGGCTGCTATAGTGTAGTACTGTTATAGAGGACATATATTCTAACATAATATAAAAATCGAATCCGAGAAAACTTAATTTTTATAGTGAACAGTTATTATATAGGAATGATGTTATAGAAGTCTCACTGTATTATATGATAGTTTACTTCTTATATTTGAAGAAAATACTACTCCATAAAAGAGAGTACATTAATAAAACATTATTGGGCCTTACAGTTTGATGTAAGCCCATAATGAGAGAGATTGCTCTTGTAGTCACTCTGAGGGGTGCTATTTAAAATATAACCAACATTTACTATGTATTTAAAATATAACCACAACTTTAAAAGAGTGGCAGAGATTCACTTCTTCAATCAAGATGAGAGAATGGAAACAACTTTGTCAACAATCACTTAAAAAAAAGGCAACCTGGTGCACTAAATTCCTGCTATGCGCGGGGTCTAGGAAGGGCCGGACCACAAAGATCTATTGTATGCAGCCTTACCCTGCATTTCTGCAAGATGTTGTTTCCACGGCTCGAACCCGTGACCTCCTGGTCACATGACAACAACTTTACCAGTTGCGCCAAGGCTCCCTTCATCTTACTAAATGAACTGAACTCCAAAAATAATCGACAACAGTAATGATTTATGCATTTTATTGACATTTCCCATGAAAGGAAAGATATACAAAATTGTAGCCATAACATATAAAGAATGCAGAAAATTGAAAACCAAAATACTGCACAAGAATTAGCAGTTCCCACAATCTCCATTTTTTGTGTTAAAGAGTGATTTGATCATAGTTTATTTGCTTCCTCATCTCGACTTGTATCTATCTCGTAAATATCCCAACGACTGCAGCTAAGTAGCTCGCCAACTGTTAAAAAAATAATTCGGGGGGGGGGGGTAAGTTAAAGTTTCATTCATATGTAACTGCCATTGAGCTTGGATGCGCTTTAGTATTCTTACCTGAGACGGAATGCTGAGTCCGGTGTGTCCTTCAATGACTAATCCTGCTGTAAGACCAATCATAGCCCATGCACCGTTAATTGCTTCTATTTGTCGCCGTCTCTGTAAAATAAGTCAGAGCCGAGAGTGTAGAATTGATGTAACATTAGAGTCTTATATGAATATGTGAGTTCTTTACAGTAGAAATTAGAAATTGTGTCTAGAACGGGATGTTGTAGAGTAGACAATGGCAGGGATATTTTGTGCTATTTTTGAGAGGGGTAGATCTGGAATAATCTCCCCTGGCTTGTAATTCTCACAGGTAATTAATAAAATTTTCTAATTACAAGAAAAAGAAAAAGAAAAAGAAATGATGTAACAGTAACAAGTTTCAAAAACATCGGTACAAGCAGGGGCAAAGCTAAAGCCTATCAAGGGCGGTCAACTGACCACCCATCGTCGAAAAATTACGTTGTGTATATATGTAAAATATTAGGTTTTGGAGGCATATAACATATATTGAACACCCTTTGTCGAAGAATTTTTTTCACTTCTTTCAAGTTTGAACACCCTTGGAGAAATTCATGGCTTCGCCACTGGGTACAAGAATCTTCAAGGTGGAAAGGACATCATACTCCGGCTTCTCAAACTTAAGTATGCCAAAGTTACATAAGAAACAAAATGAAACTTGTACAAGAATTTACATAAGAAATGAAATTGAACTATGCAATAGCCAATAACAAGGAAAGTGAACTATTTCTTTGTCTAGCAAATGAAGATCTCAAACATTTATCCGAGGTACGATAAGGCGGGGTTTATGTTAGGCGACTTTAGCATGTAATGAGTACTTCCTAAATCATTCCCCTCTCCCCCTAGCGCACCCCCCACCCGCTAAACAGATTATGATAGAAACTTCATTCGATGTTTTCTAGGAGTCTTTTCGTCTTGTCAGTGATATGACCGTAGCTTCTAATGCTATATATGTAATATTAGACCGAGATGAGCTTAATGGAGCGACACAGAAAGTGAAGATTCATATCGCCTATCCCAGCTTGCTTGGGATTGAGGTATAGTTATTGTTGTTGTCATAAATTACGATAGAAACTTCATCTGACACTCCTACAATTAACTATAACATGCATAAAACAATAGGCCCGTTACTATATTGGTGACTCCCTCAAGGTATTATATATTTTCCAACTTTCAAATCTTCCGAACTTTAACTTGGCAGAATTAAGCACTTGTAGGAAATGACTTACCTAAACGTTAGAGACGATTTTTCTCAGACAAAAGTGGAATTAAACTAGTAGCATCACATTCAATGCCCGAGTTTACTAACATTACAGAGATGCGAGCAGGAACATTAATTCAATAGCCTATACTCAATCTAATTAGAGGCAGATAAGAGTCGATAGTGCCAAGTCACAGAGATTCAGTACATTTCTAATGTTTACACATTTAATCGCAGTAAGATTTGGCTAACAAAATAGTAATCACACGTTGCAAGAAAATGGAGGTTCACTCACTTGAAATCTCTCTTTAGCTTTAATTTCTTCCATTTGCTTTGCAGCTAATCGCTTGGCTTCTGAAGGATCCACCATGATCACTTCCTTCTTTACTCTCTCTTTCCCCGGAGATACCTGCAGACAAAGAAGTTTTCATTTCGAAGCTCTTAATAAATAACGACCTCGAGTAACTATGAAGATATTTCCATGTTACAGCATATAGTAAAGCGTGAGATTGAGAACTCCAAGGAAACTTGGATAAACATCATAAGCGTAGTACTAGGTTTGAGACTTCCGTGCACCATAGTATAAGGGCAGCCCTGGTGCATTAAGCTCCCGTTATGCGCGGGGTTCAAGGAAGTGCCGGACCACAACGGTTTATTATATACAACCTTAACCTGCATTTTTGCAAGAGGTTGTTTCCATGGCTTGAATCTGTGATCTTCTGGTCACATGTCAGCAGCATTACCAGTTACGCCAAGGCTTCCCTTCATCATATTATATGAAATGTAATTTTTCTTATTTCTAAAACTTAAGTAGACTTTAAATTGTACACCAACTTGGCATGTGCACCAACTTCCGAAGATAAAGGTCAATGAAACCGTTGAAACGTCAAATGTCGAACTCCTCTTCTCTGATACCATGTTGTTGATAGTTAGCTATCGAATCCTCTATCTATTTCACTCTATTCAAGTCCATATCATTCCAATACAAACCTCAATTAACTAATCCAAAAATTTCTCCTAATTCGGAATAGGACTGATAAAGCATGATTAATGGCTAACCTTTCGAAGACGAAGATATAATAGCTCATATAACAAGAAAGTAGAAGCAAGCCTTACTAAATTGTCGTTCACATAATTTTACCACATGTCACAGACATAAAAAAATTATCTTTTTTCATTAGTTAAAAATATTTGAGCTATTCAAACCCATTATACTAGTACTAGTATTACATACATGGAAGAGCCTTCATAATGCATACATTAGGATTAGCCAGGACGCGAATTGCTTGACTCCTGGTTCTCGATGAAGCCAAGCCAGTGTTGTGCAGATTCCCGCATTCAAATCTGACAAAGAAACGCTTCTTTAAAAGGAGGAAACGGAATAGTCATATGATAAAACTCATGGGCAATGAGGCGCACGCTTTAGTGCCTTGCCTACACTGAACCGCAGCTTAAGCGATGCGAAGCGCTCTCCCTGAGCTTTAATGAGCTTCAGGGCTTTAGCGCACATTAAATGAGCCTTTGATAACACTGTTTAAAAGGAGCAAAACCGAATAGTCATGTGATTTTAACGTTCACCATTCTATCAGCAGAATATTGAGTGGAATGCTGAATAACAGAAAGGCGATACTACCGCAGAAAGAGTTCTGCCTATTTTTCATAACAAAATACTACAATGCTCGACAGAGAAAAATAAACATTGAGATAATGCATCGAAGTTCTTTCTTCTTTCCATCATAACTCAGCATATTTTCTAATAAAGTTAGTGAATATTACTCCACCTGTTTCAATTTACATGACACACTTTCCTTAGTAGTCTGTTCCAAAAAGAATAACATATTTTTATATTTGAAAACATTTTACCCATTCTTACCCTTAATAATAAAAAGCTTTTATAGCGACACAAATATAATGATACTCTTCTCCTTTTTCTTAAACTTCGTGTCGAGTGAAACTACCTCACACAAAGTGATAAAGAGGAATTATTATATACAGAAAGCTTCCATCTTTAGGGAAAATTACTATAGAAGGAATAAAGTTCATACAGAATTCTTATTTTTCCTTCATAGAAATTCAAAGCTTCAATTCTATTTCCTCAATTAAGTGTTCCAATATTCAGACCATCACACTGAAGTTTCAGCAAGCTTACCACATCAGAACATCTCAAATTCAAATTCACATACACATACAATTAAAATGAATAATTAAGGCCCACATCATCATAATTTTTCAACCAAGAGTAAATCTTTTTAGAATTTTACATACAAAGACAATTTGTAAAAATGAAAAATTAAGCAAATAAACACTTTTAATGAACAATTTAAAGACTGAAATTGCTCTAATAGACAAAAAAATATAACACTGAAAACCGGTAGTTAGGTAAATAGTAAGCAAAAATGGGAACTACCCACAAAAAATTAAGATCAATATTACTTGTCAAACATAAAAATAAAAATAAAAAGATTGATTCTTGAATAATAGCTTAAAAAAACTTACTTTTTGACAGCTGAATTATGAAATTCTGAGAAAGTTAAAGTCTTTTCCTTAAACTTGAGCCCTCCATTGATAGCTTGAAGCATCATCTCTCTCTCTCCCCCTCTCTCTCTCTCTCTCTCTCTCTCTCTCTTGTTTTAATTGGTGAAGTAGGAGAAAGAAGTTCTATGTGGCGAGTTCTTTGCCAACTATAATATTTTGGTTTTTCTTTTTTCCTTATTGGTATTTGGTCAGCATTTGAGTAGCATCATCTTCTACAAAATTTGACGGATAATATCACTTGAGCTCCCTAAAGATCCTAGTTATTAAAATTGGCTCCTAAAGATCATGGTTATTACAAATAGGCTCCTAAAGATCTTTTTCCCCCCATCTGAAATACAAGATGCAAAATTAGGCTTGACAGTTAGTATAATACTTAGGAGTCCATTACTCAAATGGTCACTCAACTATCCCAAATTATCTATTAAAGTCACTTTTTTGTTTGTAGCAACAAAGTCACTTAACTATGGCTATAGCACTCAGAAGATCACTCAACTAGATTTTTCAATATTTTTATTGTCAAATACCTATTTTACCCTCTAAATTATCAATTTTTCTTTAACTTTTTAAATATTATAATTTTCTCTTTTTAATTTATATTGTGGACTACCTATAAAATAAATATATTTTATTTATAAAATAAAAAATAAAAAATAAGCTTTTAGTTCATATAATGACGGAATAATAATATAATTGTGCATACTTTTCAAGAATATATAATGTATATTATAAAATACCTTTATTTAAATAATTATTTTTATATTATATGCATGGAATATATATTTTACGACCTTTATTTTCTTTCATTCTCAATTGTGCAAATAAATTTTTAAATTTTTGTTGTTAATACTAAAATTATTATTACGAACAAATTATTCTAATTAATGTTTTTTACTATGCTCACTATTTTGTTATTCCAGCTTATATATGCTCAATTATTTTTTATTTTTTTAATTTATAAATAAAATTTATTTATTCTATAGGTAAGTCCATAAAATAAATTAAAAAGAGAAAATCATAATATTAAAAAGCAAAAAAAAGAAGAAGAAGAAGATAAATGCTTATAATTTAGAGGGAATAGGTATTTGACAACCCAAAATTTGAAAAATCTAGTTGAGTGACCTTCTGAGCGTTATATGTATAGTTAAGTGACTTTGTTGTTACAAACGAAAGAAAACTGACTTTAACAGATAATTTGGGATAGTTGAGAGATCAGTTGAGTAATGGACTCTAATATTTAGCTATGGAAATAGTTTGGGTTGAAAATTGACAAAGTTTTTGAAGTTGTGTTAAAAAATAATTTTTGAAAGTTGAAGTTGTGTTTGAATATGCATTTTATTTGAAAAATACTTGAAGTTTTGTGAGTGAAAAAAATTTCACCCAAAAACTGGTGAAAATAGCATGGGCTAGCTAGTTTTCCGACTGGTAATTGAAAAATAGCCAGCATTTCCAAAGCAGTAGCCACTATTTTGCTGCAACGTGAAAAGTTCCAGCATAATATACTGGAGATTGGTGTACATGTATATGAACTTTTAGAATATTATGCTGGAACTTCAACACACGGAAAGTTCCACAATAATATACTAGAGATTGAAAAGCACAAAACACGGGAGTTAGTTGCTCGACCTCAAAACAGAAAGGTGATTGGAGTCAAATGGGTGTATATAACTAAGCTTAATGTTGATGGCTCAATCAACAAGCATAAAGCTAGGCTCGTGGTCAGAGGATATGCTCAAATATTCGGTGTGGACTACTCAGATACCTTCGCATCAGTAGCGAGACTTGACACTATTAGGCTGTAACGACCCGATCGGTCGTTCCGAGAGTCTTAACCTCGTTTCCCTCATTTCTACTTCATTTTGTGTGGTTCCGCTCTTTTATGTTGTGTTGGGTTGGTTGGCTCGGGTTCGGAATGATTATAGAGAGAAATGAGACACTTAGTCTCTTAAGTTGATTATAAAGTTGAAAAAGTCAACTGGAAGTTGACTTGTGAGTAAATGATCTCGGAACTTGGTTTTTATGGTTCGTATAGCTTCGTGATGTAATTTGACACTTAGGAGAGTGATCAGAATGTATTTTGGAGGTCCGAGATAGATTTAGGCTTGAATTGACGAAATTGAAATTTTGGTATTTTGCGGTTGGTAGTGGAAAGATATAGGGGTCGGAATGGAATTCCGGAAATTGGAGTAAGTCCGTTGTGTCATTTGGGACGTGTGTACAAAATTTCAGGTCATTCGGACGAGGTTTGATAGACTTTTTGATCGAAAGTGGAATTTAGAAGTTTTGGAAATTCTTAGGCTTGAATCCGAGGGTGATTTGATGTTTTGATATTGTTTTTAGCATTTCGAAGGTTGGAAAAAGTTTTAATGATGTTATGGGGTGTGTTGGCATGTTTGGTTGAGGTCTCGATGGCCTCGGGCGAGTTTCGGGTGGTTAACGGATCAAATTCTTGTTTTGGGTAGTTGCAGATTTTCTGGTATTTTGTTGCAGAAAAAGTGTTCTTCGCGTTCGCGATGGGGGCTCACATTCATGAAGGTATGGTCAGTCAAAGGAACACGAACGCGAGGAGATGGATGCATTCGCGAAGAGGAAAGTGGAGCAGCTGGGTCCCCTGGTAGTTGTTCATCGTGTTCGCGAAGGCTTGGACGACTGAGGCTTCGTGTTCGCGTGAAGGATGTCGCGTTCGCGAAAGGGTAATATTTGGTTTCTAAATTTTTTGCTTCGCGAACGCAAGGCTTTGACCGCGTTCGCTAAGAAGAAATTATTGCCTGGGCAGAATGTTTAAATAGTTGCCTTCGCGATTTTTGGTCCATTTTCCACCATTATTGAGTGATTTTGAAGCTTTTTGAAAGGGAATGAATAGGGAATTGAAGGGAAACACTTGGAGGTCATATTTTTAAAGTCAATACTCGATTTTATGATGATTTATACCTAATTAGGCATGAAATTAATGGGATTTAAAGCCTAAAGTTGGGGAATTAGGGCTTGAAATTGGAGAGTGTAAATTGGGAATTTGAGCGACTATTTGAGGTTCGATTTAGATGTTCTTAGTATGTATGGACTTGTGAGGGGATAAGTATTCTATTGATATAATTTTTGTCGGATTCCGAGACGTGGGCCCGGGGTCGGGTTTGGCCAATTTCAGGATTCATGATGTAATTTGATTATATTTGCATGGGCTTCGTTTCCTTAGCATATATTGATGTTATGAATCTGATTTTGAATAGATTCGAGGCGAGTTGAGGCCGAGTCGAGAGGAAAGGACGCAGCGGAGTAGGATTTTCGTCCGGTTTGAGGTAAGTAATGATTGTAAATATTGTCCTGAGGGTATGAAACCCCGAATTTCACATCGTTGTGCTACTTTGAGGTGACACACGCGCTAGATGATGAGCGTGGGGTCGTGCACCATTGGGGATTGTGACTTTGTCCGTCCCGTACGACTGCCAAGTCGCGCACTTGATTGAAAACTATTTGATATCATTGTGTTTTGGAAAGTATTGCTATATTTTTGGGCGGCATGCCATAATTGGGCCTCGTGTCAACTATTTTGGACCCTTATGGGGCTTTTATTACTATTTCTCACTGTTTTAACTTAATATTTTTACTCAGTCATGTTGTGTTTTACTGATTGCATGACTCAGCCTTAATTACTCAATTTTGATTCTATAAATAATATTTTGGGATGAACACCCTGTTTTACTGATTGTGCGAGTGGCTTGTGAGGTTGATGGCTGAGAAAGAGGCCGAGGGCCTGATTGTGAGGTTGATGATTGAGAGAGGCCGAGGGCCTGGTTGTGAGGATTATATATTTTTGGATCGGTCTGCACGCCACAGTGTGTGTATAGGATCGGGCTGCACGCCGCAGCGGTTATTATATGGTACCTATTGAGCGTGAGTGCTGAGTGTGAGCGCTGATTGATGAGAGTTGAGTTTCGAGTGACTGAGAGGCTTGTCCGAGGGGCTGTATACATATATGAGTGATGCTTTGCCTGAGGGGCTTGTTTTTATGAAACTGTTGTTTTCACTCTTCTTTATGCTGAGCCTCTGTTGAAAATGTTGAACAAATGCTTTTAAACAACTTTCATATAAACTGGAGTTTTTACGAGATATTCAGAATTTAATCACTGATTTGGCTTTGTTATTTCCACTGAGATGTTTATGTTATGAGATATTTATGATTCATGTTAGCCTGAGGGGATGTACACGACATTTTGCTCGAGGGGCCGATTGTGATTTTCATCACTTTTATTATAAATTGTATTGAATCTCTATTTAAACTGTTGGAAAGAATCTTCAAATGATTTTTACCAACACCTGGATTTTATATGAGATGAGTGACTCATATTCTGATTTGAAAGCTTGTTGTGCTTACTGAGTTTATCTTGATATGGATTTATTGTTTCCCACTGCTCAGTCTTTATTTACTTTTATTACTTACTGAGTTGGCGTACTCACATTACTCCCCGCACCTTGTGTAAAGATTCAGGTATTTCTAAGCTTTCAGCAGCTTATGTGTATTTTCGGAGTTAGCAAGGTAGATGCACAACATTCGCAACCCTACCCTTCTCCTTCCTATCCTAGTACTTTATATTTCAGACTTAATTTGTGTTAAGCATACAATGTTGAGTTGTACTTAGTGGCTCATGACTAGTGACACAAAATTTGGGTTGTGCTAGTCTACTTTCGTACTGGTTTTCCGCATATTTCTGTTGATATATATATATA